TAAATATTAATTTAATTATAATTATTAAATTTAATAAGAGATGGTGCCTAATACCTCCCTCTAGTGAAAAATTATTTATCTAAATATCACTTTTGAATAGCTGTTATTATGTTCTATGTAGGTATGTCTCTTTTAGTAATTAATTAAATATAATCATGGAAAAGTAGCCCGATTTAATCCAGTGATTGTTTGATTTCAGTATACTACTGCATGTAAACAATATGAAGCATAAAAACAAATAAAAAAAAGAATAAAACTAAATCAATTACAATAAAAATTAAAATAAATAGGATTGTAACTAACTCCTAAACAAAATGACAAAATATTCAAATATAAAAAGAAATTCATACATTTTTTAAAAGTAACTTCATCTAATTGTTAGACTTAGATATTGCTTTTCAGAGATTAGGAAATCTGGTTAGACTCGCATAACTTGTTACATGACAAAGGAACAAAGATTACACAAAAGATAACATTGATAGCATATTTTTCTGTGTTTTTTTTAAAGGAATGTTTTTAAACTTGATGGCCAAGCAGCCTAAAAAAAAGGTCAGGTCATCAATTGTTTGTATTCTGAAACATAAGAAGTGAATAAATGGTGGTTACCAATTTTGGACAGACTACATCTTCAAATTAATTTTCATAAAATTGCCTTCTGATGAAATTTTACAAGATAACATTGACTTGACTTATGGAAGGTCAGCACTGAAAAGGGAAGAGTAAAATGAGGTCACTGTCACCAATGGTTTCCTGATGGGTCAACAGTGCCACCAATCATTTATTATGCAACAAGAAAAATATTTACAAACATCACTGTGACACAATGCGTTGTACATATAATATTTAACAATAACTTCAATTGTTGATTCCAACACTATGAAATTGTCAGTCATTAAAATCTATTAAACAAAAACATCTGTTTAGACCAGTGATTCTCAAACTTTTTCGATCCACCGCCCCTTTGTTCCATAAAGTTATACCCAACGCCCCCTAACCCATTTTCTCTTGTGTGAGAAAAGGATTGGAAATATTCTTAGGAAAACTTTTCTATGAATCTCACACTTTGTGCCCTTACTGTACATTGTTCTCATCATCTGGAAACCATTAAATGCAATGTTTCCTCTTATCAGCCCCAATTTTGCCTTTGGTCACCGTTCAATACCCTGCCTCTATCATAGATCTATTCATCGCGCCAGAAGGGGGCGTTATTGCTTACTTTGAGAAACGCTGAGCTAAAATAAAAGTCAATGTGTTAGAAATATTCAAGTTGTGACCTTCAATAAAAAATAAAAAATATATAAAATGTCAACATTTTATATATATTCCGTCGAATTTTTATATATAGAATTTGTCTGCCGTCGCCCCTCTATATTTCCTTAACGCCCCCCAATTCTCTTTGAGCCTTCTACTGCCCCCCTGAAAGCCTCCAGCGCCCACAAGGGGGCATTATCGCCCACTTTGAGAAACGCTGGTTTAGACCATCCTTTCTCAAAGTGGGCGATAATGCCCCCTTGTGGGCGCTGGAAGCTTTCAGGGGGCAGTAGAAGGCTCAGTGATGAAATTTGAGTTTTATTTCTTCTCATTGAAACATTCTTTCATCTCAGAAATAGGATATGGGTTATGCCCTATCTATCCTATCCATTTAATAATGCATGTTTAAACATTATATTTGCAATAACTGTTTTTAAGATACGCAACAGATGGTAATGTAAAAAGGTAAGTTAAAAAATATGGGGGCGCTAGATTCTTTTTTAATCTCAAAGTGGGTGGTGGTCGAAATAAGTTTGAGAACCTGTGATTTAGACAATATCCAAATCCATGGGTTCATGGGGTCAAAACTTTTTGTTTTGATGTTGAAATTACTAATTCCTCTACATATGGAGTGGAAGACTTTCTTCCATTTCCCATTTCTTCTCCTTCCTTCTCTAATTCTTGTGCCAGTGCATTAGTATCTCTACATTTGATTAATATCAAATGTAGAGATACATGACTGAAGGAACATTTGATATTAATCAAATGTTCCTTCAGCCATGTATCAGAACACAATGTGCAGCCTATGTAAAATCTTGTTGCATCTATCTCTAAATCTCTCAATGGAACCAATGCTCACTCTCTTATTCATTGATATTGGTAAGGGCCCTGGAGGAGAGAATGTCCAAATACTCATCTTAACATCCCTCCTTTAACGATTCTGTAAAAAAAATGTACATTTTTGTTTGTATCCTTGTATACTTGGACAAGAATACAAATAATAAAGGATACAAGCAGAAATTTATAAGAATAAGGACATAGAGGTAAAAAGAATTAAAATGTATGCTTTTGTTTGAATTTTTCATATGTATTTTTCATATATTGTCATAATAATAATATCGAAAATGTCAGAATGAGGCAAACAATCTATAAAAACTTGTGTTTTTGAGACAGAAAGCTTTTTTTTCTAGTTCCTGTTCAATTCACTGTTTTGTTCTCTGCCCATCTGCTTAATCTATTGCTGGTTCTTCACTCATTTTTTTCACCATTTGTCCAATTTACTAAACCTCTTATGTTGTTGATCAAGGAGCTTTTGCCTGATGGTATGTGTATTTTTTAGCAGTATCCATCTCTTGGAATTCTCTTTTTATGAATGTTTGTGTGTCTCTATCTTGTAGATGTATAGAACTTTATTTTCAGCAGTATGTCTTACAAGCTCTTCTAGAATAATACTTGAAAGGAAGACAGATCCAGGGAGGAAGACATAGTATCTCAGACTTTTGTAAACTGTTTTAGAAATTTTGATATTAATCAAGTATTATACTAAGAAACACTGTCTTTTTCTCTTAAATAAATGATATTTTATATGAATCTATGAGTTATTCACATCCTGAATTTTTCATGCACTCACTCACATGGCATTTTCACTTGCATTGTTGACGTCTTGGCCCTTATGATTAAAATCATGTGGGGGCTGAGGGGGGGAGAAATTAAAAACTCGATGAACGATAATATGTGATATATATCGTCATTGTCTCCCTTGCCGTTTGGATTGCCGAGTGGTAACAATCAATGACATGTGGAAGCAGTTGAGTCAGAGATAGATGCTTCGTTTACAAACAACACAACCGTTTATTAAACACGAAAGAAGCTTACAAGATTACCGCGATATTGGAAGTTCTGCGGCGGCTGCGGCCTCTGGGTCTTCTATTTCTAACTACTATATATTTTTTTCTAAAATAATTATTTTAACGCAAATTTTAGTGAGTGTTCGGACCTGTCCAGAGCCTCACAATCATATTTAAAATTTTCTTAACTTTATTACCTGATTAGGATCAAAATCCTATGACATCTCATTGGCATCATCTTATTTGTAATGAGGTTGTAAAGTGAAGGTATTTGCAGTGTTATTATGTGTACATTTTAACTAATGGTTTGTCATTTAAGTAACTTAGAGAACAAAAATTCAGTTGCAGCTATCTAGCAGATTTTTTTTGTGTTGTTCAGTATTTTGTTCTGTTGGATTTGGTTTTTTAACTAATTTACTTGAAATCTTCTATCCTAGATAACACTGAACAAAGTATATGTGAGATAAGCAGGGGGCCACTGGGTCAATCCCTAATGACCATTTACCCTGCATGAGTTGTTGAAACCTGACCTCTGCAGTGTTAGATGGCTAGGAGGGCAAATATTGAGTGGGGAGTGCATTGGTAAGTCGATAGGTTCCATTTGCCAAAAAGACAGGAGACAGGGTTTAACATAACAAAATAAAAGTTTATTATATAACTAACCCTATGATACATACAATTCTACTAATTAGGCTACTTTCTACAAAATTTACGATTAGATGCGGGTACCTGTGCTCCTGTTGAGTGGAGTAACAAAAAGTTCTATTCAGCTTGCTAGGCTTGTGCTTGACCTATTGACTTAATTATGATACTAAGCTCTCTGAGAGATAGTTTACAATAATCTACTTATACCTCAATATTCGTTTTTGAGGATCTGACGTTCGCTCAATTGGAGGTCAATGACTGATGAGTTGCTCGTGTGTCTTTGATGTCCATGACTTGTATGGGTCAGGGATGTCTGTTTATGGATGTCCACTGAAATTTGCAGCTTGTCATCGACTACTTCTGGACACTCTTCTATGAGACTTTGCCTTTCTTTCACCATTGTCTGGGCTGAACACCCTGAACTTTAGTGTCTCCACCTTTTATGCTCTCTGCCTGGGAAAATGATCATGTGATCGACTGTTGACTGAGTCAAAGGTTGATTCCCAGGTGCAGTAACATAAGTCTCTTTCAATGACTTCGATGAAGATTGATTGTAGCTGTCTCTCCTTTTCAATTGGATGTTTTCCTTTTGACACCTTGTTGTTGAACTTTCCATCTGTCTGTTTACTGAGAACATCATTTGATCCTTTTTTAGTGCTGTGGGTTTTTTCTTTTTTATAATGATCATGTTAAGAAATTAAATTACAAATTGCGTAAATTTGCATGGACAAAAAGGAAAAGGCTTACGCCCCAGTCCGCGGGCTCACATATATTATCCACTACATTGGTTTGATATTTCAACTCCCTCATGAATTCTTTAATAAGTAACAATTCTGCATCTAAAGCTTACTTATTTAGGAGAGCAATAGAGCTCTTTAAACTAATAATCTACAATAATTTAATACAGTCTCAGACTTTCACAGCTTTTAAATCTATACTTAAATATTTGATAAAATTTTCAGGACAATAAGTATACACTTAGAAAATTTACAAAAATCCAAAAAAAAATAATATATTAAAAATATCTTTACATTGTGTTTTTTCTACACATTTCAGGAAACAACAGTCTCATTGTAGAGTTGACCTATCTGTTGAGGTGTCTTTTTGCATCATTAGGTAAAATGTTAAAAAATTCCTTCTGGCATCAGCACAATTAAAAATATATGTATTTGATAAATGAACTTTGTAGAAAGGACAAAATATAAAGACATTTTTAATATATTGTCTCTTTAAATATATTAAAAATGAATAAATATAATTTAAATATACATTTAGAAATTTTACAAAAATTTCTAAGTGTATATTTAAATATTTGAAATGCATCAATTATTGGATTTATTTAGAAGTGTTCAATAATAAATATTTTAAAAAAATAAATATTATATGCATAAAATGTTTACTTTATTCTTAAAACTTCAGCATTGATTGATTTTGCTTTTTCAAGCTATTTATAATTTTGATTTTGCTTTTACAAGCTACAGTGATACCTCAGGTTACGAACGCCCCAGCATACGAAATTTTCAGGATACGACATGAAATTCGAACATATTTTTGCTCCACGATACGAACAAAAACTCACCATACGACGTTACATTAGTTCGCATTTTTCATTTGTTTTTCTTACTACAGTTATTTTTTTTTAATGTATTACTTGGCTTTAATTTGAGTATGTTTCTCACGTTGGAACGAATTATTTGGTTTTACATGTAATCGTATGGGAAAAGATGATCCACCTTACGACATTTTCAAGATACGATCTCAGTTTCAGAACGGATTAATTTCGCATCCTGAGGTACCACTGTATTTCAGAATGATCTTATTTCATAATTTGAAGAATACCTAATTTACCTTATCCTATAATTTTTATTCTGTCTTATTCCACAACTAATGGGATAAATCTGACTGACATATAAAACATGTAATGTCATAATGTTATAAATGTTAAAAAACAAACCTTTCAGGAGTGATGAAAAAAAATTTTCTAGTGAATGATTTCATTTCAATTTTACGATAAAATGCTAAAAAACTCACTAGTTTACAAATTCTTTGGAATATCAAAATGATATAAATGTAAGTTGTAATGTTTTAAAGTGCCAAAAGTCACGTGACTTTCACTTTGTTGCTTTAAATGTTATGGCTTCACATAAATTCAACTTCAAAATAAAACCACTTACAGTGTTACTATCACCACAATATTTTTTTGCAGCAAAAATTTGCAGCATTGTTTAAAATTCACTTCTTCAATAAAATGTATTTAGAGAAAAATGGCATTTACAACAGTTATGACATTGCATATTTCATATATTAATACATTTTTTAATTATTAAATTTATATATTTTCAGGGAATCAAAAATAATATGAGCCGATTGTACTCAAAATTTTCTGAAGCTCAGTTTGTTAAACCTGAAAATATTCAAGATAGATATGCAACATTACTATTTTGTTTGACAGCATTTCATTGTATATTGATTGAAAGAAGATATTTTAAAAACCTGGGTTGGAATGTTCCTTATAAATTCAATGATTCTGATTTTACAGTAAGAAAAAGATTACATTTTTGAATAGTAAAATAATAATGTGCAAGTATACATTATTTTTAAAAATTAATTTATATTCATTGTTTTGTTTTTAGTTACAAATTAAAAATTAACATATTGACTAAAACATATTAACAACTTAGGGGGTGCTGTCTGACTGTTGTGTCTGTTGGCATGAATTTTTTGCTCTATTATGATTTGACTCATTTTGTTTTGTTTTTTTCCTTGGAAAATGACAGAATTTCCATCTCATGAAAGGAAAACTTTTTAATTATTATCTCAAGATGGACTGCAACAAAATGTAAGATAGCAAATCAGAAGCAAAGAGAATGTTTATGATGAATCACTGGAATAGCTGATCTTGTCTTATATAAGTGCAAAAAGGAGATTAATGTTTAAGAAGGAATCTGACTTTTGTTGAAATTACAAGCTTCTTCAAATAGTAAATTACAGATTTTTTTTAGAGTGTTTAGATAGAATGCAAGCATGGATTGAAAATATAGACACTGCTTTGATAGAGCTTGAATTTATGCTCTCTGTCCTTGAATCTGATAGAGAAACAGGCTATGTGTAAAAGTGACAAATCAATTATGGAAATTGATGCAAAATGTAATAATTTGCATGAAAAGTTAATGAGGTTAGAAGATAAAGAAAGAAGAAATAATATTATAATCTCAGGTGTAGAGGATAATAAATGCTGGCTTATTTAAGGTTCAGAAACTTTTTAATGATAACTTAAAGGTTACAGTTGTGAATATTAAGCATGCTTTTAGAATTGGAAAATTTAAACCAAATGGAAAAAGATTAATTATTTGTGAGTTGCTCAGTTTGAAGATAAATAAAAAATATATAAAAATGTTAGTAATTTAAAAGATTTAAATATATTTATTAATGATGATTACTTGATAAATACAAGAACTGTCAGAAACAAATTAAGGTTGTATGGTAAGGAAATGTGTTCAAAAAGAATGTTAATTTGCGATATAACAGATTAATTATAGACAATAAGATATTTGTGTGTAATTACAAAGGTGAAACTTCCAGACAGAAAACAATCATTTTTAACAATATAGTTTTCAATGATAAACAGTGTGATGATATAAAGGACAAGTATGATGAATATAAAGTTCTGTACTTGGATAATAATGATGATATGAAACTTCTATTTTATAATATTGGAGGTTTAAATAATAAATATTGCTTTTTTAATTTCTGGAATCTGATATATAAAATGGATGTGTTTTGTCTTGTAGAAACATGGCATGCATCTCACATAATTGAATCAATGTTTTCTAATGATTATAAAATTTATCATCAGGTTGCATACAGCTGTGAGGGTCCTGGAAGACCCAATGGTGAATTAATTGTCTGTCTTAGATTAGATGCAGTCTCTGAAGTTAAACTGATATTTCAGTCATGATTTGTGCTGCTTTTACAACAAGATACCAAAGGCAACCAACATCCAGCTAATAAGGTCATATATTCCATCTAACAATAGTTATCATGATGATTTCAAGAATATTTTGTTACTTATAAAAAAACTACTCACTACATGGAAGTAAGTTGATCATATGCACAAATTTTAATGCTAATATGGGACATAGGATTTCTGATTACAGTAGAGCATCATTTATCTGAAAGTCGGTTATCCGAAAACATTCCAGTCGGCAAATTTAAATTTTCGCTAGTGCTGTGGTGCTGCAATCTTTGGCTATATCTTGGGCTACTCCAATATTTTTTTGTTGGTGTGTGTGTTTTAGCTGGCAGCACTGGCACTATTGTGTGATGTTTTTCTGAGGACTGTGAGTCGTGTTGAATCAAACATTTTTGATAGTAGATCAACTTCTAAAGTATATATATTTTTTTGTTTTTATATTTTTCAATATATTTATTTTATTTGTACAAAATAAAAAATAATTTTTAACGATACAAAAGCCACGATTATTATTTTAAAAAGTTTTCGTTAGGCTTAACATTGACGAAAAGTCAACGTGAAGCGATACGCAACAGAGAAAAATTTCAACATGGGATAGGTTAATATATTTTTTCGTACATAATCGGTTATCTGAAAAATAAGTTATCCAAACAAATCCATTCCCCAATTGATTCGGATAAACGACACTCTACTGTATTTATCATGTTTCACTAGTGACTGGCAAATTGCTTTTAGAATTTCAAAAGATTCCATTGTTAACGATAGAGGGAAAATTCTCTACCATTTTTGTGAGGATAATAATCTTGTTTGCTTAAATGGTTTATTTTCAGGGGATGAAAAAGGTAATTTTACCTAACATAAAACTAAAGAAGTGTGCTGTTGCAGTGTTATTTGTAGTGTTTTGGGCTTTACACACTTATTTTATTTTATTTTTTCTTCTCGTTTGTGCATTATAATTGGCAACACTGGTGCAAAGGGAGAGGAGTATTTAAGGGTATGCCAAGTTGTGACAAGGCTTTTTCTTTTTCTGACTGGCTATTATTGCCTTTGTGGTTTTCTCACCCACGTCTTTGTGTGACCTGTTTTCTAGCAACCACATGTTGCAGTTATAGTTAAAGATTATTATAAGCAAATAGGGAGAATCCATTTCCATTGGAGGAAATACCTATCAGACTTTGTGTTGGGATTAATTGATTGCCTGTGAACGACATCTTCCAAGCAGTATTTCAGAATTTCGCATACCTGACAGCAGAAAAAACTTTGTATCAAAATCTAACCACTATACTAGAAGTTTGCCTGAGACACAGAGGTGTCTCTATGCATACCTTGTAAATTTTGTATCTATAATTGTATAAAGCCTAGTTCTAAGCAGAGACATAGTTACTGTGGAGCAGTTGGAGCAAACTGCTCCAGGCACAAGTTAGAAAGGGCAAAATAAAAACTTGTAAAAACATTTGTAAAAATTTTTTTGGATTTAATAATTAATTGTAACTCTACCTGTAAAGGTAGAAGGAAGTTGTGCTTTTATATTAATTTTTAGCACTATAACTGATGCTGTGCAAACAATATACAGTTTTTGGTGTATGAGAATTATTTATACAACTTTAGTTGTAATTAATAAGTGTACTAGATGGAACAAGCATTCACATAATTGAGAAACCTTTGATTATCCTGAATCTAATAACTCAAAAACACTCAATGTGGAAACTATTAGTCACACACAAAATATCCAAGCAGCATTTTAATTCTTGCCATGAGCACTGCAGCATAATGTCAATAGTTCCAATTGCAACTGTAATTCTCTTATTCAATTTGTTGATATCATCCTCTCAGGTCAACACCTGAGAGGGTGATATCAACAAATTGAATAAGAGAATTACAGTTGCAATTGGACACAGTCTTTAACATATCTCCATAAGAATGACCAATCCACCTGAGAATTTTTCATTGAGAAACTTATGCATAATTAAGGTCCTCTGATTCTCTGAGACTGCAGTTCCCATAGATGTGGCTAAATAAAGTGTTCTAGAATATCTAAGTAGTTTTCTGAAGTGACAGAAGAAAGAAGAATTCAATGATATGGTCATGAAACAGGCTATGCCAGACATTCCAGTTTTCTAAAACTTTCAGGACTTTTATTTAAGTTGGGACTTTTTGTAGTTTTCTCTGACTTTCAAGCACATTTTTATTAACAATCAAAGTTGTATAGATAATTATCATATATCTAAACTTTGTATATCATTGTAATTTATTTTGCTTTATCCCTCCAGATTAATTTAAAATAATATTTGTATTCATATCCTTAGTGCAATAAAATGTAAAGTAGAAAATAACTGTTAAATAGGTGTGTATCCTAAAAATCTGCACAAATTTCTATAGTGTTTTTGGTAATTTTAAATAATTGCACATGCACATGAGACAGCATACATTTTTTCTAGAATGTTCTTGATTCTATTTATTAAAAAAGTTTATGTAAATAACATTGCATTTTAAAATGGAAGGACTAAATGAATTTTATTGAAGAAATGTAATTGGCAGATGAGGTAAAATTTAGACATTTTGAAAAATAAAACTTTATTGACAATTAACTCAACAATGATTGCAGTTCAGTCTTGTGAGTAATCATCATCAATATCAAGCACATCTTGCTATTATCTTCACTGCAAACTTTAATTCCTGTGAACACGGAATGACTGGAGTTTTTCTTTGAAGAAATTCTTGAGAGTTGGGTATTGTGCTTGAACTCTAAATTGATAATATGGTTCTGCAGGGCACAAAATACATGATAGTCAATTGGTGCCAAGTTTGGGCTATAAGGTTGTAAGCTCGCTGACCTCATGGAGATTGGGGACTTAAAATCCCACTTATCGGACACCACTGTAAATTTGCCTATTGGGGGGAGTTTATTCTCTACCATCGGGATGGACTAAGGTCTATTCGTATGTGGGTGGCAGTTTGAGGAGACAGGAAAAGACAAGTGTTTCACAAAGAAACCGTTTATTTTTGACGAATATGCTTAAATAAAATTATCAAGATCCTGGGTTGTCTTTGGAAGTTCCTTTCTTCTCATTCCTGTCCAACACTGGCAGGGCTCCATGGCGGTGTCACTTTAATGTTCACAATTGGGAGAAACAGCACAAAAGAAAGATGAACAGCGTACGACAAGCAGAGAGTAAATGAACACCACAGGTAGACTAGAGGAGGCCACTTTCTGTCGTTGATGTCAGAGTTTTTATAAGTTTTTCATGACCAAATTGTCGCTAATTGGACAGACTTTTCTTCCACACTTTCTAATTGGTCTCCCACCTGTCTCCAGGTGTAAATGGAACTTGTGTTGGTTGTCGGCTAGAGATGGTCTATTTGACACCTTCTCTTAGACTCTGATCATGTTTAATCGATGACTATGACACCCACGCTCATCCTGATATTTCTCTGTTTCATTTTGCTTTCTAAACTGTGTCTTAAAGTTTTAAATTTTCTCTTATTAAAATTTTGTTTTTCCTACTATTCTTTGAGTGTCGATGTCAAAGTCTGGTGTTGCCAATTTGACACTTTTAGAACTTGTTTTCTTTACTGTCGATCTTAACGAATTTTACATTTTTTTTCCTTTTTAATGCTATTTCTGGGCCTCACAAGGTGGATGAGGCAGAATCTCCCAGCCCAGACTGACCAGTTTCTCTAAGGTTATCTTTGCTCTGCTGTGTGTGCTGGTGACTTGCTATTGTTGTATTGGACTTTGTCAGTTTTTGGACAAAATTCTTTGATTTTCATGTTAAAAAAATCCAGTTATTTACAGTAGAGTTCCTTCATGACAGTGGTTTTGGTTAAAAGCTACTTCATCATGATGATGCCAAACAAACACAACTCATTGCCACCTTCTGCACTATCAGCCCTTTGAAATTTGAAACAGCTGGTTGATCTTTGCTTACCCATGAATGCTTTACAGATGAGATTGTGAACCTTTATTGCACTATGGCTATTATTGAGGAGATAGAGCAAACATACAAGCATTTCATATTGTCAAATGCTGGTGTTTCTATATCCAATGAAATAGGTGACGAAATGCTCTTTAGTTAGTCTACTTATATTCCCAGTCATTTCTAGAAAAATCGAAATGTCTAAATATCAATTTTACAATCTGATACTGAAAATTGCAAAAATTAAAATCTTACATAGTTAAACGTTTTTCTGAAATGTGAGTTCCATGGCATACTACAATGTAATGTATAATGAAAAACTTCTAAAAAGGTTAAAAAAATCATACATATGGATAATATTGTTCTATTATTAAATTATGTGAAAGTTTTGAACATATACTAGAAGTTTGAAAATTCAAGAAAAAGTTATGTTACATCAAATTTTAAAAACTTCTAATGTTCTATTGAGTTTTAAATCTGTATTCAGATATGAACTTAAGAAGTTCAAAAAACAACACATTTAAAATAAAAAGACTTCTGTAAAAAAAAGCAGTCTTCTATAAGACTTGCTTATTGTTTTTTTGTGTTATAAGATCATATTATTTTAAAATGATTCAAAATTAAATTGAATTAATTTTGATCACATTGTATATTTTTATTTTAATGTTTCAATAATTAATGTAGACAGTTAATTCTTTTATGATAGTTGCAGCTAAGTTTTGCATTTTCTGTATAGAAAATATTCTAAGTAAAAATTTTAAAACTAATGTTAATTGATGACAAGATGACTAAGGTGGTTTAAAACATCAGCCTACTGCTTTGAGTGGCCCAGTATCAAATCTGGATATTCAACCCTTGGAATTTTAGAGTTACATGCCCGTTATTTGCCAAGATATATCAAGCCCTCACCACTTGGTTGTCCTCACTGTGGAACTAATTGAACCCCTAATGGATATAGAAAAAAAAAAGGCATTCATAATGCTTTCAGGGTGAAAAGAGCAAAACAAAAAATCTAACGATATTATTTATTTGTGAAAAATTATTATTAAAATTCAACATAGAGGTGCTGAGAAATTCTCCTAAAGAGATCAAGTTGAGCCCCTAGTATAATAGAATATTAATCGAAATTTTTAAATTTTAAAACATTTGCAATTTTAGAAACAATGTCTTAATGCAAAATTATGAATTTAAATGAACAATTATATTTCTCCTAATATAATTAATTTTATGCATGTTATATTATTATTCCATTGAAATGACAATATTATTGACTTACTGTAAATCTTATATTACAAAAAACAATTTTATACCACAGTTTTAATTTAAAATTAACTGAAGAACCTGTAAACCTAAAAACAAAACATTAATGCTGTGATTCACAAACAAGATTAAACTGAAGAGGAAGGTAATAGACCAAAATGCATCTTTAATCAAATAAAAGAAGCATAGCAAACATTGATCTCTTGTTTTCTACTTGAATTGTTTCCAAAAGATGGTGTGATGAGTCCTTAAATTTAGCTGCTATAGATATGATAAAAATTTAAACCAAATAATAAAGACAAGAAGCAATTTCTCTGTTTAAAATTATATTTTTTATGTCTGAATTTAAGTTGTTAGTACTGACATTGATAATTATACAATTTTGAAAAAAATTAAACATTTAACAAAAAACAAATAATAAATTGCAATATTTGTCATAATCCATTCTTAAACTTAAAATTGAAATTTAAAGTAAAGAATTAATTTATGCAATTAATATGATTTGACAGGTGGCTGAATATTTTTTGGCATCATGTCTTGAGAAATATGAAAGAACTTCATGGGATGCATTGAAATATTTTATAGAAGAAATTGTATATGAAGGACATGTGATTGACGAATGGGATAAAAGACTAATTCGTGTCTATGCAAATGAATGTTTTTGTCCATCGATTTTTTCAGAAAAAGGTTTCAAGTAAGAACTATGATCTACATTTAAATCATAAGATTTATAGATTATTTTATTGTATAATTATATTTTTAATAAATATTTATATATTCAAAGAATTATTTGCTATTTTAGTTTTTAAAGATGCNCCCATCTTGCCTGCCACTCTTTCAATGTATGATGACGGATGTTTTCCTTTAGCCATATGGACGGAGTGTTGCTGTAGGGAGCAACTTTGTATCCATACAGGTGCTTTGCGGGCCAAATAATGTATGTCAGAACGCCGATTGGGAGGGAGATTTTTATTCCCTTCCGTCGGGATGGTCTAAGGTCTACGCGTATGTGGGTGGCGGTTTTGAAAGGCAGCAAAAGACAAGTGTTTTACAGGTGGGAGGTAGTCACAGGCCGCACTCGAAAGTATAGCCTCAGAGCCAGAAACGGAAGGAAGAAGAAAGTGTTATTGAAGTAGTTAGATATAAGGGGAAAATAAAGTGTGATAGGATAGTGGAAAGGTGGTTCATGAGCGCCTGCACCTTGTTTATTTAAATGAAAACAAATTACAGAACAAATTGTAAACAGTGATTTATATGCTAGATACATAAAGATGTTACAAAAAATAGTTGGCGCGACAATAGCAATGCTTACAGACTATTTATGTACATTGGTTAAACAGGCTTAATACGAGGGTTGTCCCAGAAGTACCCGACCTGACATAGATGGCGGTACTTGTTTGAAAAAAAACTACTGTGTTCGAAAGTATCAACCTTATAAAGCTTAAGTTTGAAGTTTGAAGACGTTACGTTGTATAGTATTTTTTTGGCAGCCATAAATAGTGAACAATCTCAGTGAATTTGTAAACATGGAAAAAATTTGTCATCGTTATGTGATACAATACTTTCATTTGAAAGGTTTCAGTCCAACCAATATTAAAGCTGAGCTAGATTCTACTCTGGGGGAGTCTGCTCCCTCGTTTACAACAATAAAATATTGGGTGGCAGAGTTTAAACGAGGTTGTATGAGCTGCCAAGACAAACATTGTAGTGGTCGACCAAGTGAAGTGACCATGCCAGAAATGGTGGAAAAAATCCACAAAATGGTATTGGATGACAGTCAACTCAAAGTGCGAGAGCTAGCAGACATGGTAGGCATTTCAAAAAGTGCTGTACATCGCATTTTAACTGAAAATTTGGACATGAGAAAGCTGTGCGCAAGATGGGTGCCGCGTTTGCACACAATGGGACAAAAACAGCGTTGTGAGGATGTTTCAATCGAGTCTTTGGCAATGTTTCGCAGCAATAAAGCCGAGTTTTTGCGTCGATTCATTCACACCTGAGACGAAAGAACAGTCGAAACAATGGACTGAAAGGGGAGAATCAGCTCCAAAGAAGGCGAAAACAGTTCCATCTGCTGGCAAGGTCATGGCGTCAGTTTTTTGGGATTCACCCAGGAAAAACAATCAACGGCAATATTATGCAAACTTATTGCAGCGCTTGAGTGATGAAATCAAGAAAAACGGCCACATTTGGCGAAAAAGAAAGTGTTGTTTCATCAAGACAACGCACCAGTTCACACATCCGTTATTGCGATGGCCAAAATCAATGAGTTAATGTTCAAATTGCTTCCTCACACACCTTATTCGCCAGATTTAGCCCCCTCGGATTATTTTCTCTTTCCAAACTTAAAAAATTGGCTTGGTGATAAAAGATTTGCCAACAATGAAGAGGTGGGGTCTGCGGTTGATGGCTATTTTGAGAAGCCCGACAATTCTCACTATAAACAAGGGATCGAAGCTATTGTACATTGCTGGAAAAAGTGTATCGAGCTAAAAGGAGACTATGTTGAAAAATAAAGATATGTTTTACCAAATTTTTTGTGTCTTCTTTGTTAGGTTGGGTACTTCTGTGACTACCCTCATAGAATGCGAATTGACATGCCAAAATATAGATGCTGATTACAAAGGTTGGTGAGATACCTTACAATTTGAGATACAGAACATTTTGTATACATGCATAACTAATCAGATACACAGACTCTGCCTATTGGTGACTTTGCAAATGATGCTTAGCCAGGCAATACAAACGTCTGTACCATAGTACAGTGGTTACAATTTTTAAATACATGTCCTTGAGACTTTGTGAGAAGTACATATAATGCAATACCTATAAACCACGTATACCAGATGAAATAAGTGCCGCATAGAAAAGTGTTAAGAGAGTAAACCCATGCAGATACTACACGGAAGGATGAGAGTATACCACAATATACCGACAAGTAGAGAAGTGGTAATACCAATTTGCTGAACAGTAGGGCCCTAGCAGAGGTTCAATCGAGGATTTTTATATCCAATGCAAATTTCTTAAGGGCTTTGTATATTTTGCTGTTGCTTACCAGAGTTTTCTTATGGCATGGCCATAGTTCGTTTTGATTTTGGATTTTGCTGATTAGTTCCTTCCTCTGCAATTCATAGATGGGGCAGTTCCAGATGATGTGCTCTGGGTTTTCATCTTTGTTGAGTGCACATGGGCACTTACCATCGGTCTTTCGCAAGAACCTCCTAAGGTAACTGCGAAAGTTGCCATGCCCGGTCATAATTTGAGTTGTTTGATAAGCAGGGACTAGATGCTTGTATTTACTGCTGGAGGATGTCAGGTATGAAACTATACGTTAACCTATCTGTTGAGCTGATGTCCCATCTTGCCTGCCACTCTTTCAATGTATGATGACGGATGTTTTCCTTTAGCCATATGGACGGAGTGTTGCTGTAGGGAGCAACTTTGTATCCATACAGGTGCTTTGCGGGCCAAAAGATCAGCCCTCTCATTACCAATAACACCAGAGTGCCCTTTTACCCAAATAAACTTGATGGTAATCTTGTTCTGTAAGGTAAGTAGTAGGCCTATACTTTCTTGGATTATTGTCAGTTTGGTGTCAATGTTCTTGAGCTGCATCAAGGCAACTTGACTGTCGCTCAGAATTGTAACCCTAGAGATCTTGTGGGCTATCATGTTATTATTAACCCAGAGTAGTGCCTTATTGACGGCCAGAGATTCTGCCTGGTTGACCGTGCAATGACTGGCCAACCTGAACCGAGCCTGGTGGATGTTAATGCTATTATTTGCCACAACGATGGAACATCCCACTCCCTTTTGGACTTTGAACCATCCGTGTAGATACAGAGGCCGGTAGTGACCTCTGCACCCTCCAGGGTTAAAAGATCATCAAAGGAGGTGCTGAGGTGATAGTTAAGGCACTGAGGGTTGTAATCCAATTTATATTGTGACAGATGTTCAGAGAGACTCGTGGCTGCCGAGCCAACATCTATGTGACTTGTGACCTTATTGAAACTGTTGATAGTAGTTGTCCCGATGGCCAGCTTACGATGGTGAAAGGTCCATACTTTTTCCTTTATAACCAGGTCTATGGGAATTAGATTTGCTATCACTAGTAGGGCGTCCGTTGGGGCTGTCTTGTATGCCTTGGTGATCGAGATGAGGGCAAGCCTTTGAGCAGAGAGGAGCTTTCTTTTTATGTGTGTTCTTGTGATCGACATTCCCCATATCTCTGAACCGTATGTCAGAATTGGCTCAATAACTGCAATATACATGAGGCGGCATGCCTCACTGCCGTTCCCCCAATGATTCCGAGCTATAGAGGCCAAAGAGTGCATAACTGTCACTGCCTTCTCATAGGTGTAGTGGGCTTGATGTTTCCATGTTAACCTGTTGTCTAATATCACTCCTAAGTATTTTACTGTTTCACTGTTCTTTATCCGGTGACCATCCATTTTGATGATTGGCCCCTTGTGTAGGGGCGTGGTTCTTGGGAAAACCACGCAGTGACATTTGTCATAATTTATTATGAGTTTCTTCTTGTAACACCACTGTGGTATTGCCTGCAAAATGCTGTTGGCCTGAGCCTGAAGTACCTCCTGATTCCTGTGAGTGATGGCTACAATCGTATCATCAGTGTATCCCTGTAACCTACAGTTGTAGTCGGCCGGGAATGTGGAACCCAGGTGCAGAAGGCTGTCATACATAATGTTCAACAGGAACAGCCCGGACCTGGAGCCCTGAGGGCAGCCCCTGTTGATTTCTTTTTTTCAGATAGATACGGTCATTGTTAATTACTATTATTTTCCTCTTACTTAAGTAACTCTTGACCAGTGCAAAGATGTTCTCGGGGCACCCCATACCTTGGATAGCTGTGAGGATAGCAGGCCACCAAGCGTGGTCGAAGGCTCCCTTGAAGTCAATGGTGACCACCATGGTGTGCTCATCCCTCCCCTTTGCATCCTGAATGAAATTTACTATTGAGTCCAGTGCCATGATTGTACTTTTACCCTTTCTAAATTTATACTAGTTGTTGTGCAAACAGTTGCTGTTCTCACAATGGTATTGTAACCTATTTACCATTAGTCTGTCTAATACTTTCCCGATGACAGGGAGAAGGGAGATTGGTCTATAGTCTGACGATTTCGATGGGTTGTTGTTCTTGGGGATTAGTTTAATGGAGGCAGTTTTCCATACAGAGGGGAAGTGGCCTAGTTGCAGGCATTTGTTGAAAATGATAGAGAAGGTAGTTGGGATGGCCTCGAAGGCCATCTTCGCCATCCTGGGGGTAATAAGATCTGGTCTGGGCGCCTTGCGAAGCTTAAGCCTGGAGAACTCCCTAACAATCTCTTGGCAGGAGAACATCCTGTCTTTATTAGTGGTGATGCTAGTCAGACTGTTATTCCTGATCATGGTGTGAGTATTACTGTCAGTTCCCAGGTCATCATCAGGAAAGAGATCCCTTATGATTTGAGCATAGGTGTCCTCTATTAAGGTGTTAGGATTGCAGGCAGAGTCATCAAAGTTATTGGGGATCCTATTGTTTTTAACCTTGCCCCTTGCGATATTATAAGGGGCAGACCATGTCCTTCCTAGGTCAGTACAGAACTTTCGCCATGATTCTGTCCGTGCCTTGCATAAAGCAGTTTTATAGTTCCGGAAAAGAGTTAAGTACTCTTGGCACAAGTCCTCCCGCCTATCAGGGTCAGCCTCCCGTCAGAACCTTTTCCTTGCTCTCCTGAGTATAGTTCTTTGATTAGTGAGCTCTTTGGTCCACCAAGGAGCAGAATGTTTTCCTGTTTTTATTGTTGTTGATGAGTAGTATGCTAAAAGAATAAGTTTTTGCAAATTATCGATGGCTTTCTCTAGACCTGTTGTATCTTCTATGTTTTCCAAAGGGTCTGTACGCCAGTGCATCTGTATAAAGTCCTGATGAGTCTAATTTGTTTTCTGACAAATCCTTAACTGTTTTACTACACCCAGGATATTAATGGTGATTTCTTTATAACTGTGGTCACTTGCAGAATGTTCCTCAAGAGTGCTGCAATTGATACCATAGGGGGTGAGAAGGCGATTAGCAAGACAGATGTCTACCCAGCTCTCCCCTGTAGAGGAGGAGTAAGTTGGCAGAGGGCTAGTATTTAATGATTGAAGATCCAGACTATTAATCAGCTCAACTACCTGATAGCCCCTGGGGTCATTGTATGGACTATGCCACACCTGCGATTTAGCATTAAAGTCCCCCGTAACTAGGACGGGAAGGCTGCTTAGCTGCTGGATTGTGTTGCGCAGTCCCCTAAGGGTTGGGTGATATCCTCAGATGGTGGACAGTAGAAGGAGATAATGACAAATGAAGCACTTTGAAACTTGATTATGATGGTTGAATAATACTTGTTAGTGTGGCAAGACAAAAGCTGCGCATCGATGTTTTTGTTGATTATGATGATCCCAACACAAGGGTTTTCCTGAGAGTTGACATTGTTGAATATGGTTAAACTCCCAAAGAGAGCTATTCTCCTATTAAAACAGTACGGTTCCTGTACCATGAGGATATCAGCCTGTTGGGTATTTGCCATCTGCATGGCCTCGGTAGAGGCTGCTTTCGAGCGTTGCAGATTAATTTGAAGCAACTTGAGACTACCCTGTTGAGGACTAGTACCCATAATTTGTTTGCTTGATTATTTGCTCCCTTACTTTAATTGTATGTGGGCATTTTGGGTCCAAGGCATTGTGATTCGTAAGTTGTTGCCTGTCTGGAGCTAGGTCTTTGTTCGCAGTTTTGCAGTTGATACAACATGGTGGTTGTTCCCTCTTAGTGCAGTCTCTGTACTTATGACCCTTTGAGCAGTGGCTGCAAAACTGTTTATTGGTGCAATCACATGCTATGTGATTTAACCCACAGCACTTGAAGCATTGCGTTATGTGTACATAGTCATCCAAGAGGACATTTGCCCATGAGATCGAGATATACTTTTCTTTTATAAGTTGACTTCTTATATATGATGTAGTTGAGAGGACTATGTGCCAGCAATTCTCCCTTGTATTGCCCCTCGTAATCGAAGTACTGACCCTTAAGGAAGACACAAAAGTCTTCTTTGCTTATCATACTCAGCAATGTGTTTTGCTCATATATCATAGTGCTGATATTTTCATTCTCAACAGAGTTAGGAACATTCAAAAGGATGATCCTCGGGAGTCTGCCCTCAGATATCTTTGTCCTTACATGCTTGTGAACTTCTGAAAGCTCCTCAATTGCCCGTTCCAAAACACATGCATCCCACCTGTTGCTAGTGCGAAAACATATGCCTTCTCCCCTCACCTGCTTTATGGCTGTCACTTTTATTTGTAGTTTATCTGGTTTCACTCCAGTTATTATTTCTTTTTGAATGCTTTCCATGTTAACACTAGCCCCTTCTGTTTCATCAGGGTAGACAATAAGTGCATGACTGCTGCCACTACCTTCGTACCTGATCTTACTATTCATTGACCTAGATATGGCCTTCGTGGTGCTGCTTAGCAGGATATTTGATTTAACTATATCTGAATAAGTAACTGGCTTTGAACTGCCTTGTTGGCCCTGAGACTGGGCGCTAACCATGTCTGCCTTCAAGGCCCTGAGTTCGACCAGCTGCCATACATCTTGTTGATGGCGGCAAACATGTCTGTTACCCTCTCCTTGATCTCCTTTCTTTCCGATACTGAAGTGTACGATTTACATGGTAATGGGAGAAGGTCCATAATTCTCTGCAGATGTTGGCTTGATTCGTCTAGTAACCTTGCCTCCATAGTACCATAAGTACCACCCCTTGGTGTGAACCCTGATGGGGTGTCAGGTCTAGACTTGGCTCCGCTCCCAGCTAAAGAAGCACCCATCCGGCTCCTCCATAACTGCCACACAGTCAGTAACTACAGAAAACTGCTTTAAACTTAAACCAAATAAGGTTGCCCGACGCACTATCTTGGTAACATCTGTGAACCATGGCACTGGACCAAAGTGCTCGCCCGATGCACTAGTCCGACAACGATAGCACAATGAACTGACAAACTTTGAGCACACACTAGTCCTTGTGTGGATTGTCCCAATGTGTAGCTTGAGATATCCGAGATGGTTAAGATAGTCCGTAACAGTGGTACAATGGTACTTACTATTTTCCCGGTCTGTATCCTAGTGAGTATTGTCTGTCTGGTTGTAACCCTGATGGAATAATTCTGGGATGCTGTACTGTTCACTTGAGATGTTAATGTACAATGTCACACACCAAAAGCTTCTTTGACATCCTGCCAATAAGGTGTTGCCTAGCACACGTGACAGCCAAGCAAACTTGGCTGAAGAAGCCTAACCAGTCTCTTTGTGATCCCTTCAAAATCCAAAATTAGCAGATGGTGTCACTCCACAACCTCTTCCAATATATGACTGCCGATAGTTGTTTTTGGTGCTCCACAAAATGGCCGTTGAAACAAGTCTTATTCTCCATCCCCAAAGGAAGCCAAGATGGAGGCTCTAAATTTGGCTACACTAGCTAATATAAAAAGCCTAAAAAGTTAGGCTTAGAAACCCTAAGCCTAACCACTCCACTAAGCCTAATATAGGACTACTTTCCTGCACCCTAGCACTAAGAACTGGGGCGTAACCCTAAATTTAGGCCTAGCATTTAAAAACTGAAAACACAGTCTGGAGCTCAAGAAAACACAACTTACCTGGTCGAAGTCAGCTTCACTCTCCCACAAGTGTTTTACAGAGGCAAACCGTTTATTCTGGATGAAATTTCTTACATAAATTTTTCCGTTGGAAAGGTTCTTAGATAGATGCGATCTGGTCTTGCGTTGTAGGGGCCCCTGGACAGTATTGAATGAAAAGTTCAAAGTCTCGAAAGTCGATGAACGAAAAGAATGGAGATACACGAACACAACAGAAGGCTAGTGGAAGTCCCGTTGTCCTTGGAATTGGTGCTTTTATCCTTTTTTTGATGTTGGCTTTTTGCTAATTGGACAGACCTTACATCATCGTCTTCTAATTGGTCTTCCACTTGTCTCCAGGTGTAAATGGAGCTTCGCATAGTTTACAGGAAAGGTCGACTGGAGATGGTTTATCTGACACCGTCTTTTCAACTCTGATCGCGTTTAATTGTTGACTATGATACCTATGCTCATTTTGATGTTTTTTCTAGTTTCGTTTTACTTTCTAAACTGTGTCTTAACTTTAATATTTTAAATTTTCTTGTTTTATATCTAAAATTTTGTTTTTCCCATTATTCTCTATGAGCGTTGACATCAAAGTTTGGTGTTGCCAGTTCGACACTTATATAATTTGCTTTCTTGATGATTGAACTTAACAAATTTTTTTAAATCTTTCCTTTTGGGGGGCTATGTCCGGGGCCTCACATGTAGAACATTTTTTATTCTTTATTCAAAAATTATTTACATGCAAAGCATTGAGCTGCAAGAAAGTTTCCATTCCTATGCAATAGAACAAATAACTCAAATATATTATATAAGTGAGAATAACTATGCATGTGTGTATTTACAATCTCCAGCAGAGCTGTCAAGAATAAGAAGCTAAAGATTTTTTTTCTCTGGATCTAGAGAAATTTTAGGGACCATTGTGGTTCCTACTTCTATAAAATTAATGTTATTTTAAAACAAAACATAAAATCTTTAAACACTTTTATATTACTATAATAAAGAAGCATTCTATGTACTTCAATTGTTTCAAAGGAAAACAAAAGGCAAAAGGGATATATACAAGCTCTTGGTATCTTATATATAGCTAAATAATAATAAATTATTATCCATGTTATACAAAGCAAAAACCTGCAATATTTCATGTAAAGTAAGACCACAATGGAGCAAGAAATTCATGTTCTAAACTGCTACTGAGAAGTTATTTTGCCTACAGAATATGGCAAGAATATGGTTGAAAATGTTTCTGACACATAAAATATATATTTTTGATTTTTGTAGATAAACAGTTTATTTAATTATTAATTACACTATTTACTTATACTTTATTACATGAAATTATGAACACTAAATATAATTTTTATTGAACTAATTTAAAAAGTTTATAAAAGATTTTTTTTAAATGTATTTATTTTTTTTTATAGAATATGCAATTTATTAGTTCCAAATGTTGGTAATTTAGCATCTTATGTAGCACATGTTAATTTTATGCCACATATAGAAGACACTGAAATTTTTGGTGTTCATCCAAATGCAACTATTACTTTACAGATCCAAGATGGACTATGTCTATTAGACAATTTAATACATATTCAGCCTGATATTAAAAGTATACATCTAGGTGATGATAAAGAACAATTGGTAATTCTAATATTAATTAATGTCTTTTATGAATGTTATACAACTATTTTAATAAAATTAATTTTTAAGTTTTAATTATTAATTTAAAATACTTTAATTATTTTCTTAAAATATTTAAGAAATGCTATCATTTTTGTTTTTAAAAATTTTAATTTACTAACTTATGGCAATCTTTTCTATTTTATTACTTTAATTTTTTAAATCTTAATGTTAATGAATTAACTTAAGTCACAGCAGATTCAATTAATAAATAATGTTCTTGATATTTTTTTTTAATAATACATGTTTAAATAACTTTATTATGAATAAAAAAACTTCATTTTGATGTTAAAGGTGATGAAAGAAATAAAATATACAATAATAAAGTTATTATTTAAAATATATAATAATAATAATAATATACAGTGGTGCCTCATACTCTGAACTTAATTCATTCCAGGAGGAAATTCTGAATCATTCAAAGTCTGAAGCAATTTTTCCCATTAGAAATAATAGAATGAGAATTAATCCATTTCCAGATCCTAAACAATACTCATTTTGATAAACTTAAATCAGTAAATACACATAATTAAAGGTAAAAATAACAACTAAATGTCCTAAATAATCAATTAAAACATGAAAACAATAAATAAAATATTAATACATAAATACTGTATAATAAAATGAAAATTGCATTTACTGGTCATACACCATTGACTTCAGCATCTTAAACATGGCTGCCAGATTTTCCACACGTGTACTGCTTTCATGCTTTGTAATAAGTTTCTCTTTTATGTCAATTATTAATATTACAATCCAGTGACATGAGATGACTTTTGATGATAAGGAAGCTGTGCTGGCCCTGGATAGAATCATTGGAAGCGTTATACAATATTTTGGTGTGTAGCATCCATGAGCTAAACTGCATAAGATTGGTGCTCTGTAAAGCACATGCGCAAATACTTGTAAGATTACAAGCATTTGCGCATCTGGCTGCTTTACACATGATTGAAATATTTTTGCTATGGAAGCTATTCTGTATTTGACAATACAGTCGACCCCCCCTATAACACGGTAGATACATTCCGTTCTTTATGAATCAATTTTGTACAAGTCCTTGCCAGTCACAGCCCGACACGTGTGAAGTTTACGGACTACGGCTGTTTGAAAGGTTTTCTTCCATAAAATTAATCGATTCTAGACTAATTTGACTCAACATTTCCAAAATATGTATAATTTTTTTGGGAATAATCTGTATAAACCATGCTATAAACAAAAAAATTGTAGGATTACTTACCGAGTGTGCACCGTTTGACGTCGCCATTGCTCAAGCTTGTTTTCGTCGTGGAGCAGCGCACCAAATGGCAGGCGATTTCTGATAAGTTATTTTTCTATGAAAACTTCGTTGAACTTTGGAGACATCATTAATATAAATAATTTTTATGGCTGTTGAATAAGAAATGTTTCTTTCACAAGAAATGTATAAAATTACAGTACTGTATTAGACTTACGGTACCTAATTTACATACTGTACAGACGATAGTAAACAACTTACTTGCCTAAACTCTCCGTAACGTGGCGCTGGACGGTGGAAAGTATATATATATAATTATAATAAAGTTACAATACAATAAGTTAATATATAATTATATATACAGTACCTAATTTATATATAATTAATATGAAATTATATGTACAGTACCTAATTTATATATAATTTATATATAATACTGTAAAGACGATAGTAAACTTAATTTACCCGCCTAAATTCTCCGTAGCGTGGCGCTGGACAGCGGAAAGTAGTTTGGCTGCCCGATGATGATTTACTGAATTATAGGAGTTTTTTATCAGGTTTGTACGGATAACATCGCAATTTTTTTGCCATCTTATAGGAATCGTAATTATAGGAACCCGTGTTATAGTGGGGGTCTACTGTACAGTGCTTCCATTGGGAGCATGCATATATGAATTTATATTCGAATATACAATACCAATCTCATCATTTTTTTCACATGTAGTATAGAAATTTGTAATAAGGTACATAATGCGGTTACAATAAAATATTAATTTTAATTAATAAAGTACATTAAAATATGAATTGCACAATATGTATTTATATTGTAGAAAATACAAGGGAAGCTGTGCTTTCATAGTTTCCAAGGACAACATGCCACTGTTACAATCTTATTTATAGACTTTGTTTCTTCCAAGCATTTCTTGGATGCCATGGTGAATAAATATATATTGGGTTAATATAGCCATAAGTTAATAAGTATATAAGTTATATTGGGTTGAATAGAAGGCTTTTTGAATATTTTTAACAGCTGTCATTACTTAATGTAGATTTATAATATAATTATAATAGTTGTGAAATTTAGCACATTATTTTATGTACAGGTACCCCCCTTTTTTTACCCTTTCCCTTGTCTGTCCTATATCCTCCATTTCATCTCTATAATTATAAGTTAGTTTAAATTTAGTTTCAAGGAACTTTTGAAATAAATGTACAGTGNATTCTTTCTTTAATGGACTCATTAAGTTAAATGGTACGCGACGTGTAGGAACTACCACAGCCTTGTAGTCATCCTTTAATTTAAATTCACAGGGTTTTATTTTGATCCTGCCTATGCCTTCAAATACATTCCTGTATTTAGTAAAATAATCACTTTCCATTTTTATTTCTAAAATATTTTGATTTCTCTGTAGTAAATTTAGTTTTTGAATACTCTTGAGTCCTAAAATAGGTGCTGCTTGGTCAGTTGTCTTGACTATTATAAAATTCAAAAGTTTCTTAACCTTATCCTTAGTTCGTACTGTTAAATCACATGCTCCTAGCACCTTTAATCTATTTCCACCATAATTCGAAATTGTAATATTTGTTTTCTTTAGCAGTCTTCTTAGATTAAGAGTCTCAAAAATATATGCAGGGATTACATTAACATGTGCACTAGTATCTATCTTAAAACTAACACAATCTAAAATTCTTAAAGTCTCTGACTAGTCTAGATCAAGGTTCTTACCTCTACTTTCCAGTGACGCCAGTATGTAGTCATTTGCACTCTCTGGCACCATTTCCAGTACATTTATCATGTTATTTCGACACACTTTTGCAAAATGATTGTATTCTTTACATTTATTACATTGTTTGCCCATTGCTGGACAGTTAGGTTTATTATGTCTATAACCACATCTCCCACAATTCCGTTGTCTTCCTTGGAATTTATTTTCCGGTCTTTGATATCCACACTGATTGTTCTGTGTTCGATGGTTCTTTGTTTCTGCACTAGACCTATTTTCCTGATCACGTGATTCATTGAGAAGTTCTCTTGATTTTCCTTTTATCACGTTGACTTCTATATTCTTTGGTTGATTCGACAAGAGTTTAATGTGGCTCTCTGTCTGTTCAGCGGCTCTGCATATGTCGATTGCCTTTGTTAATGATAGCTCCGTTTCTCGCAGTAGACGTTCCTTTACCTTCTGATCACGAATACCACTCACAATTCTATCTCTCAATAGTCGATCCCGTAAATTCCCAAATTCACAATTTATCGATAGCTTATGTAAGTCTGCTACAAAATCGTCAAAGGTTTCGCTTGGTCCTTGCACACGAGTGTTGAACTTGTGACTCTCAACAATTTGGTTGCTTTTCGTAATAAAATACAACTCGAGTTTTTCTAGAATTACATTCGGTTGTTTCGCTTCTTCATCATTAAGTTCTAATGTTTCAAAAATTTCTAGAGCTTCTTCCCCCAAGCAATGGAGCAAGATGGCGACTTGAGTTTCATTGTTCTTCGTCGTGAGTTCGGTCGCCGTCGAATAAAGTAGATAACTTTTCTTAAATTTCTTCCAATTCGCTCTTAAGTCACCTTCTACCAACATCGGTTTTGGAGGAGGAAGATTTTGAAACGTGGACATGTCGAATCCAGTACAGGAGAATCTTTCGTCTTTCTCTAAACGTTTGTTGACTGCGCCATGTTATGTTTATTGTCTCCAAGTTACAACCAAAGTGAGCGCTCAGGTACCGTTCCCGTGATGCATCAGCAACGATTGCCACCTGGCGGACTCACTAATATTATACATTTCAACATCTCCAATACAATACACATTACAGGTGTCCTTCATGCCCACGATCATCTTTTCAATATGTGGCATCACACTATCTAAGATTGGCTTCGGGGTACCTGGAGTGTACATTGGGCCATTCATTAATGTGTCAAGTAGATAATCAGGTGGAGATATGTTATCCCAACATACTAATGGGATTATAGGTACTTCTTCTCTAAGCGGTCTCTGCTTTTTTAAAATCCAATTCATTTTCTTCCTGTATTTTACTGTCAGGTTCTTCTCTAAAATTTCTTGATATATAACGGCCCTTTTGTTTGCTTCCTGTAACGTCGATACATTTTGCCTGAATAGAATATTTTCTTCTTTAATTAGTTATCGAGTTTGGAATATATGCATCTTCTTGTTGTTCTAATTGCTTTCCTCAAACAGAGATATTTTAACTTCAGTAATAGGGATTCACATCCTTTTGGGAGATGTATGCGGTATATGGTCATGGGGGAAGACCCTTTTTCTCTGGCATTCGAATAAGAAATCCAATTTTGCTCTTGCCCTAGTTAGGGTTAGCACCAGTTTTTTGTATGTGTTAGCCGGCTTACAAAAAACTGAGTGCATTTACGCACCCTTCCAAAAAATTTAGAAGAGCATTTACGCACCTTTCTAAATGGAGTGACACGATAACTGAGTTACAAAATATAGAACGCATTGCAGTCGCACATGGATACAGAAAAGAACTAATACAAGGACTGGCAAATGCCTATTTATGAACACAAGAGGCACCCATTACTCAAAATGCTAATCAAGATTCAAACAGAAGACTCAACATCGTTTAATACAGTAAACATTTTCAAGCATTATATAGAGAAATTGCAACTAAAACGAACACCAAGGTAGCGTATCGAAGAACCCCAAATATATATCAATTACTACGTAATGCAAAAGACAAACAGAACGATCTTAGAGCTCCGGGAGTATATAGTATTCCTGTAAAAGATGATCGATTTAAACAAGAAATGGTATACATCGGCTCCACGAAGCGTTCAATCCAACAGAGAATTAAGGAGCACAAATATGACATAGAACATGCTCGTTACACCACTGCACTATCCACCTATGCAACTGACCTGGATATTCACGCAGAACTATCAAAAGCCAAATTAATAAATAGAGCTTTTAATATGGACCACATCAGAGCCCTTGAAGCCCTGGAAATCTACAAAGCCGGCAGGACGGGGAGATGTATAAACACCAAAGACGGCAACACGCTTTCTTATGCATGGCGTTACGTATGCGAAGAACAACAAAATGATGACGATACGTAACACGCGCATGAATTCGATTATATTTGAAAACTAAACGTTCATTCTAAAAATAGAAAGTATTTTAACCTGAAGCAGACCTTGACTGAGGCCGAAAACGTTTGTTTTTACGAATAAGTTACAAGTACAGGATAATAAAGGTTTAGTAAGTGCGATTTTATTAGAATACCGGTATTCAGAGTAGAAGATTTTTGATACTCCTAATCTTTGAACAGGTCAAATGTGGTTTAAAAAGTTCCATTAGAGAATTTTTGGTATTCAAAAGCTATTGATGATGAAAAATTGCAGGAAGAAATTGTTAATAATTTACAATAACACACAATATATATAACAAAACATCAAAAATAATGCAAAAAAAAGCATTAAAATATAAGAGCATAATGTGAGGTTCCAGATGGGTGCGAACCATCACCAAATTTGTGAAATTGTTATTTGTTTTAGATTTAGAAAGTAAGAAAAAATGGTTGTAGCTAGACACAGATTTTGTTTATGTTAAAATTGATGCAAAGTCATAAATTGTAGAAAGAATGTAGTCCTAAGATCGACCATCTTCGATTGGAAGATCAAATTCAGCTTCAAGCTTGACCTCTCCTGCAGTCTGAGTTGGGATACTGTTATGCTTAGTAACAAGGGAAGGGCCATTCGGAAAGCATGGATCAGAGAAATTGACCAATCAGAATGACTGATCAAAAATGGACATTAATATAATCCCCGGACTTCAAGGACACAATGCTCTCAGTTGGTCAAAGCACTTGTCAGTCAGCATGCATACCAAGTGTCAGTATTTAAGGAAGCAGTCTCTCACCTTCACATGATTTGTAATTTGTGTGTCACAGTACAGAAGCAGTGAAACCATCCTTACTTTGATCTGTCTATCTCATGCTACGTGTTCAGTTCTCAACAGGCTTCACATTTACAGTACCTATCCAATGAACATCTCTTTGCACTTGCCCCAGGGCTGCGGACAAATCTCACAGCAATGTCCAAGAGAAGACAATACGAGAAGATACATCTTCTCTGACACACCCTCCTCCGAAGGAAGAAATTCTGGTGTGGATTAACTATGATCTAGGAACTGGTGAATGCCAAGAACCATTGTAAGTACTTTTTCCGTATAAATAAAACAGGCTGCTTGTAAAGGCATGTGTATTCAGTGACTCCATCATCACCACCCACATGCAAACAGCCCCTAGACCAAGCTGATGTGGAATTAACTGATCCCTTCTCCTAGTCAACATGCTCACAATAGCATGAGAGCCAGAGACAACTTGGCTACACACCAAATTGCATTTATGTTTTGAGTGCGTTTTGTCATGAACTGCGTGTGCAGTTCCAACGTTGAGGAATTGTTCAAACTCCTTTTTTCCTTTGGCATATTTTTGTTGAATTTACTGTTTGAAGTTAGAGTTGTTCAAAGTACAAGGTATCACTGGTAAGATTATATAAATATAAAGCACCACTGTATTTTAAGTTATATATTAATACAAATAATTTTCAAGTTAGAAGACAGTAAGTTTAAAGTTGTTAATACTGTGGTGATATAGATGGATTGGACGTTATGTGTGGGAAACAATACATAGGCAAACTACCTTTCATATACATTAACAACACTATTTTATTTTCGTTTTACTTTACTTTACGATACTCTTTTTGATCTTCTGACAATCATGACCCTTGTGAACAATTTACTTCAGTTTCTTATAGTACTAATTAAAATTGACTTATCCTAAATTAATGTTAATATTATTCAGAATAAAGAAGGAAGAAAAGGGAAATGGTATTAGTATGGGATCCCCTTATTCTCTTTTGATGAGTTAGGCACTTAAAATGTTGACTACAGTTAACAAAGAAAAAAATCTTCTACTTTCCCACTGCATTGATCTTCTTCCTTCTACTCACACTCCTATCTTACCACATGCCTCACTACCTTTGTTTTTCAACTCCTTTCAAAAATGTTCCTTATACTCAGTAACATGCATTGATCCTTCTTTTTGCCCAAAACTCGCCAAAGAACAGTTATTGTACGATTGAAAGGATCAAACAAAAGGAAAAGATAGAGTTAGTTGGACAGAGAGAGGGAATACATATAAATTATAAGTTTGCTAATTATAACATCAAATATAAATTGTGGAACTCACTACAATACTAATGGTTACAATCAATAGTATTATTGATTGTAATCATTAGTGTTAATAACTTTCTGTCAGATCTGATGTTTACAATTCATTAGATCTTTACCATATAAAGAAGTTTATCTTTGATTAAATACATACCTATTAATATTTTTATTACTTAATACACTTAAAGCAGTGCCATCTCAAATATTTCATTTTTTCCATTTCACTTATTTAATAATTACATCTACAATAAATTACTAATAGAAATAAAACCAAATATGGGAAAAATGTCTAAGACAATGTTTTTGATGTATTCATGATGATGTACTGTAGTAACTTAGCTGAATTATTTAATGCACCTTTAATAATGACATTTTTTAAAAATCCCACTGTTAAAGATGCATTAAATAATTCAACAAAGTCTTCTAAACTGCTTATGGGTTAAGTGACATGTTTTCAATGGCAATTTCAGAAGTGAGAGATGTACAATGGGTGTACAATGGCATTTTTATTTTCATTTTAGTAGTTTTTATGAGTTATATGCAAGAAATTATGTTTTTCAATAATAAAAAATTGCTTTAGTAAACAGATGAAACAGAATCCTTTCTACGAAACCAACTTCAAATGAAAGTCTATATATTTATTTATTATTTCCTATTTGTTTACAGGTAATAGATATGTGTACAGATATATTATGTAAGTTACCAGANGCCTCTTGTGTTCATAAATAGGCATTTGCCAGTCCTTGTATTAGTTCTTTTCTGTATCCATGTGCGACTGCAATGCGTTCTATATTTTGTAACTCAGTTATCGTGTCACTCCATTTAGAAGGATGCATAAATGCTTTTCTAACCAATGCCCGGAATGCAGCGATTTTATAATTGTACGGGTCCGCTGAGTTTGCCGGTATAAACCATGGGATGTAGCTGGGTTTATAATATATACTTGTATCAATACTTCCACCGTTGAGCATGATGTTTATTTCCAGGAAGTGTGCATTGGTGGTAATTAATTGATCCAGTTTCAGGGTCAGCCCGTATGGATTTTTGTTCATGTGGCTCAAAAACTCATTGATGTGTGGTTTCGTTTTCCACAGAATAAAGACATTGTCCACATATCTCTTATAAATAATTATATTAGAACTATACTTTGGTATGACCTTTTTTTCCAATCTATGTAATACCAGCTCACATAAGTTGCTAGACTGCGGGCTGCCAATGGGTACCCCTCGTTTTTGTAAATAGGTCTTGTTGTTAAATTGGAATATGGAGTTGTAGCACATAAGATGCGCTAATTCCAATATCTGTTTTCGATGTGTAGGTGTTCTAAATTTGTTCAATAGGAGATCTTTTAGAGCGCAAAAACAAGGTTGCAATTTGATGGAAGGGTATAATGATTCAAAATCACATACTGTGATGTGGGCCGACTCCGTTACCCGTGTTTGCCTTAATATTTTTATAAGTTCTTTGGGGTTTTTGACGTTTAGATCGTAATCCCTCATATGATCTGATGCAATGTTATGAACCGCTTTTTCAAGAAGTTGTGTTGGAGACCTGGCCTTGTCCAAAATGGGTCTAAGAGAAGGTGTTCATTTCTGTGTTTTCGCAAAGGCAAATAATTTAGGTGTGTCTGGTGATGCTACTACCATCCCTTTCAATTTTAGCTCCCTGGCTAGCAGTGTTTTTGTAAAGCGTTTGACTTGAGCCTGTAGTTTGTAAACGTATCCATCGTTAATCGGCTCGCATTCCGTATTGTTGATGTATTGTTGCATCAGACCTCTGTAGGTGGTTTCTTTTAAGAGTACTAATGATCTGCTCTTGTCCGCTTTTAAAACGATGATGCCTTCCGTGGCTAGCCATTTTTTGGTTTTTTGTAAACATCGCCAAAATCCTTCCTCCTGGGTTTTGTTGCAGCCGGAACAGATTTCGAATGTGGCTCTCCATCTGTAGTATTCTTTGTGGATGTTGTTATGTTTATTGTCTCCAAGTTACAACCAAAGTGAGCGCTCAGGTACCGTTCCCATGATGCATCAGCAACGATCGCCACCTGGCGGACTCACTAATATTATACATTTAAACATCTCCAATACAATACACATTACATCTCCCTCTCTTAACAAAATCTTTGAAACGCGATGGTCTACGAACCACCCGGCCTGATCGAGTTGTCAAGCCCGTAGCCTCGTTGCCGTTCACCTCCTGATTTTCCAACTGCTCATTCTCTGTGTCCTTTTCCTCTCTATCACTAAAGCTATCCATGTTTTCCCCTTGTTCACTGGCCTGTTCATCCTCAATTGGTTGATCCAACAATTCGCCTGNAATTGGCTTTATTAAAGCAAAATACAGAAAATATTCGTACTATAAATTGTGCAGAAAAAATAACACTTACTTTTCATGATAAATTTTACAATTTTAAATTTTAATTTTGCAAAAATGCATCAAGTGTAGTCTGTTTTTTGCTTCTGAAATTTTGCCGTACTATAAATTGTGCAGAAAAAATAACACTTACTTTTCATGATAAATTTTACAATTTTAAATTTTAATTTTGCAAAAATGCATCAAGTGTAGTGTGAGATTCAAATAGCCCCGGGTCTAAAATAATAATTTAAAATTAAATATTCTTCCATTATGATAGGAAAATAATGTTTACTAGCGTGGGAAAACAGCTAGGAGAGTCACTTCCTTTGACGGAAGTATGAGCACCCTCTGTTTTCTCCTCTGTTAGAAATCTTGTTTCGATGGGAACTGTCTACCCCCTCCTTTATCCCCCTTTCCATCCGTTCACGTGGATGAAGCCTCAAATGATAATTGGTCGTAAATCCTAAGATATAGTCAAAGTTCAGCCGAATTCGAGGAGTTCGTCGGCAGATCCGAGAGTGACCAGACTCCACTCATTCATTCATTCATTCATTCATTCATTTTATTCAACGTGTTAATACACATTTCCTGGCCCCACAATTAGCATTACCAGGAATATATTAAATATACAAGATATATAACGATAATTCAATGCATTGTATAACATAGAATACAGAGTAAAATTATATATAATAAATAAACATAATATACAGAAATAATTAATACAGATTATATGTAATATATAATGGAAATATTAACAATAAAATAAATATAATCAAATAAATACAAATTAAATTTCATGTAATAGAGAACAAAGTTAAAGGTACAGTGTCATAGTAAAGTACAAAGTAATTGAACAATATGTTCAATATTAGAATATATCATAATTACACATTACATATTTCAATTATATTATGGTACGTAGTATCACAGAAATCACATATGATGCATAACATCTTAAATATTTTAGCTACATATGAAGCATTAACGACAATCAATTATCAAACAGAGAATTCACATTTAAAGAGAGAAGTGCTAAACATAGTAGAAGATAATGCAGTCAATACGAAAGTATATCAACAATGTAGTCATCACGAATATATATCAACTGTATAAAGTCATCTGTTGAAGTCTAGCTTTCTCTTTAATATAAACTGGACAATTTTTATCCATGGTGTTATGATCGTTATTGTCTAAATTTCCTCGGGAGCAATTAATACACTTGGGTGGATTCTGCTTATTCGGACAACATTTAAATAGATGCTTCTCGTTACAGTGACTACATATATTTTCTTTTTCAGGGCAACGTTTAGCAAAGTGATGGAAAGATAGACATCTGTAACACTGTATTACTGGAATGTAGTCATAAACACGACATGAAGACCATTGTAGATAAATTTTCCCAGCTTTTATCATCTTTTGTCTGATCTCTGGAGTTACTTCCAGTACCCAGGAGACATTTTCAGTATTCTTCTCATTTAATGAGAACTTAATGTGTACCTGTTCAGCAAAGATTCTATCAGTAAAAGTATCTAATAGATATGCATTCTGCTCAAAAATTTGTAAGATTAGATCTTCTTTAGCTACACATTTAGGTACTGATGCTATTTTTATCAGAGGTAATCTTTTTTTAGGTAATATTGCACTTAGATTAGGAATTTTTTCTGCATTCTCTTTAAAATATTTGACTTCATTTTTGTGTTGTAAATCCACAGCGATACCTCCATTTCCTATTTTTCTAACATTTCGTACTCCTATACCTAACACTCCAGGATTCAGATTGTCTGTTAATTGCTTTTTTGTCTCCTCACAAGTAGCCTCTTTCTTATTGCTATAAACTAGTACTGTGTATTTTGGCAGAGGCGGCTCACTTACATTAAGAATTGGTTTTAATCCTTTCTTTAGAACATCCCTATAACTCGAAGGACAAGAGTCGTTGCCTCCACTAAAATCATCTGATATGTTTTCCCTATTGGTAAGCATGGTATATTGAATATCCTTCATAATTTTGCTAGTTTCTTTATTTTGAGTTTCTGTAAATCTTAATAAATCTTCCTTTGTTACTAATCCAGATAATGTTTCATTAATTACATTGTTATTGTGAAGGGTTACCTCAGCAAGTTCGACTAATCTCGAGAATTGTGTTAAGATAAATGATAAGTGGCAATCAGCTCCAAATTTAGCGTTCGGAAGACTCCACTCAATTGCTCTCTAAGGCCAACGCCCTTAAGAGTTCATCCGTAGATCGGAGAGTGGAAAGGACTCCACACATATGCCAGCAGACCAACGCCATAGTCGTCCCCTATCAAGTTAATCCTGAGTTATCAATGAAGGACCTTCACCAATAAGAAGAAGACAAAGCTCCTTTAACAGGTTGTATGTTATTTAAGGAATTGTGAGCTCTCTCTCTCGTAAATGTATAGGTTAAGAATATTTCTCTCTAGATGCGTTTGAGTAATTTATTCGTCATCTTGATCGTTTGATTTGATTGTTAATCTAATTCCCTTTTTTGTAGAATATTGTTATTTTTAGATATATTAACTTTTACTACTTTACTATTTAAGACATGTCTCTGGATTGTTTCCTGAATCAGATCCCTATTTGCGTGTTAATCCGCGGAAGATAAATGTGATTAACTGGTGTCAGCATCCTGACGAAGAGATCCGACTCCTACAATTTGGATCTCTTACAAAAGCCCTCCCGGTCAAAATCTTGACATAGGATTGGATCACAAGATCCGAAACCAAGAGAACTAGTTTTACAAACTAGCGCCGATTAAGTGGTACTAATTATCACAGTGGAGTAGTACCCCCGGCTGATCTCACAGTAGTCTGTTTTTTACTTCTAAAATTTTGCAGTTCTTCAAAATCAGCACAGATATTCAGTGCAGATGTGGGGCTTTCTTTGTTGCCTTCTTGCATAAAATAACACTGTAATCCAAATATAAATTTCTTTGCCTCATGATTTGTCACAAGCACAGGTGGGTCATTATCATCATCACTTTTTTGTCAAATTTTTGATGTTTGAAGAATTTGATGACATAACAATTGCATCCTCAAAGTTTTTATTTTCATCGTAACACGGTAAATTGTCATCTATTGTTGAAAATTCTTCATTATTGATGATAAGAACTTGCAGCATGCCTTCATTTTCCTCACTGCTCAAAATTTCAGAAACATTCAAAGGTTTTAAACCGCATAAGCAGCACAATACAAAGCAGTTTTGTATTGTGCTGCTTTTTATAGCTCACCAACTGTCAGTGACAAACTGTATGGCTTGCAAAATGGAAATTTTTGCACTGATCTCTCTGACTGTTGATGAACTTGTCATTAGGTTTTCTTCAATAGATTCCAGTATATAATTTATCAATTTTC